CGTTCAGGCTCCGGACAACTGTACTCTGAGCATTCATTTCAGGCACTGAAGCATTCGCGTCCCTTGCCCTAGTCGACTCGTTGGATGACCGAAGATGAGTATCCTCACAGGCACGAGATCCACCTTCGTGGTGTTTGGACAAGAGGCTCCGAAACTCCTCTTCCATACTCGCGATACGCAGTGTGTAAGTTTCTTCAAGCTCAGCAATTTGGTCTGCCGCTTTTTCTGCCAAATCCTCGAGCTCCTGATCGTGGTAAGCCTTTAGCTCCTCAATTTGACGCTGTAACTCCCCTGAAAAGGTAGCATCGTCGCTGCCGCCATTTTCAATCTGCTCGGTCGGAGGCTGAAAAGAGTCCGGTTTATTGCTCTGATGCCAAACCACTCTATTAGCGTGTCCAACTGTCGGGTCTGGATGAGTTATTCGCAGGAAGGGATTCTGTTCCAAAGCCTCACTAGAACGGGCGCTTGGGAGTGCTTCCATCATTAACTTGGAACTCTGTTGAGCCTCCCACAGCTGTATCTCTAAGTCCTCCACACGCGCACGTAGCTGCTCAATCTCTGACTCGAGTTGAGAGCGTGCCTCTTCTGAGAGAGCGAGGCGATGTTGGGCATCCGCGTAACGATGGCCAAAGTCCTCCATGACGACGGCCGCCGCCATCGACTCGCCGGGGTGGCGGGTCGTCTGGACGGATGTCAACCCCTCCACCGTCTCGTTGATCGTCATCGCGGAGTCGCCGTCGGGGGGATCTCCCGATTGAGAAGGCGTCGTGGTGAGAGGGGCCTGTCCATCACCAATATCCCTCGCACCACGGGATTCGCTAAACTGAGGCTGTCCCCCCTCCCATTCCTGCGCAGCCGCGATACCCTGGTAGCAGTCCTGCCGTTCACCCGAGCCGCATGCATCACCATACGGAGCAGGCTCGATCGCATCAGGTGAAGCTGGGGCTAGCAGAAAACTAGCTAACGTGTTGGAGTCTTTGGGAGCATCAACGGGAACAATACCCCTAGTGATTACAAGCCGATTTTCATCGCTAATTTCCTTCTCTACTGTTGGTTGTGGATTTACCCTGCTACCACCTAACTCCTCCCCAGGAACAGTCCGAGACATTGTCTTGGCTAACTGAAGTTCTAGCTCCGCATTTTCTCGCTCAGCTAGCAGCAAACGGTGTTGCGTGTCCGCGTATTTTCGGCCAATCTCCTCTATATCAGAGAGGGGCTGTGAACGCTCACGTTCATACGCACCAAGCTTCAGTAGCAACGACTGCACTTGTTTCTCTAACTCTTGAACGCGATTGTCCGTCGCAGACGCCTCCTCCACTGCACCAAATGAACGTCCTATTCCTCGATCCATGCAAGTGAGGTGTGATGGGCTGTTTATCGATGAAGCCAACATGCATTCTGCCATTGGGGCAGGTGTACTGAAAGCGTTGACATGAAAAGCCTCAGAATTCGAACCCGTTTTGTTTCCGCCGGGTGGAGAGGAAGACAATGGCTCTGCGAGGGCTACATCTAAGTCATCCTCGGCGGTTGACATATGCTGCCATGGATTTTGAATCTCAGAGAGCCTCGCCACCCCACCCCCCTCTTCAACTATATCACTTATTACTGCTCTGTTCAACTCTGTTCGTGTCCCTTCGGTAGTTGGTGCTTCCTCTTCGTCCTCCGTCCTATGTTGATATTCGTTGGAATCGCTAAATTGATCGTCCCTCCCTACACTGTCATAATTTCGCACCGCTCCTAGGAAAGCCAGCTGAGAGCTTTCTACCGCAGAAAAGGCCTCTTCAATGTCGTTGAATGCATTATCACCTTCCCCTTTGTTGTCGGTATGTGGTTCGAACTGCTGGTGCCCTTCTCTGGTGGCAAGCGCTGCGAATGGGTTGCTTAAAAACCCTTCCTCTGATAAGCATCGGTTAGAGATATCCACTCTGCCTGTATTATGTGTGTCGGCAAAATCCCCACCATCATCGTAATTATGCGAGCCAAGTCCTTGTTCATCCGAAAATGCTTCGTCATCGGCCTTCTGATCTAATGACAAGCTGTTCTGAGGACCTGGGGAGACCAGACCCGGATGCAATAGCGAAACTCGGTGAGTGCTTGGCGTTAACAAACCCATTGATTCCCCGCCATGATCCTCGAAGGCCGAAAAGGGATTTACTGCAGCCACGCTGGCCACCTCCGTTATCTCTGCAGAAGCTTGGTGAAGCCTACCGCGCAACTCGAACTCCTCACGGAGCTGGAGGAGTTCATCAGCGAGTCGTGCACGCTCTGCACACTCCACTTCCAGTAGCTCATTCACCCTGTCGGCCTCCTCCTTGAGATAATCGCGTGCAGCCTGCGATTCAACCAACGCCGCCTGCGTCGCTTCAAGCCTCGCATTAAGGTCCACAATGATCAGATTAGCAGAATGGAGCTCCTCCTCTATGGCATGGGTGGTTATTGGAAGAGCATCAGCAACCTCAGCACTTGGCTTGCTATCATCTACAATGTCCGCAAACGGGTTTTCAAAGGAAACATCGGTGTTTCTAATTTCCTCTACTTGTGTGTTGTATTTTTGCTCCAGAGCTTCAATTTCGATGCGAAGCTGCGCTACACGGGCCTTTTCCTCCTCTAAGAGCTCGTTAGCTTGCGTTCGATCGATTTCTAGAGTGGCTGCCAGCTCACGTGCTTCCTCCAATGCCTGCTGCAGCTCTAATACCTGATCTGCAGTCTGCTCTCTAAGCCTCTGCAACTCCGCCCTAGACTCATTCAGCTCCATATTGGCCTGATCGCACTCTTCCCGTGTTGTCTGAACCTCTTTCTGCACCTGTTCGAAGCTATCTTTTTGGTTGAATAGTTCGTCCTTCAGTTGTTCGTTTTCCATCTCCAACTTTTCGCATTTCCTAGACAGGTCTTCCAAGGTGTTACGAGATTGCTCCAAGTCCTTTTGGAGGGAATCTAATGAGGTAACATGGGAGGCCTGTAGCTCCCGGAGGTGCGCTAATTCCGCCTGCGATGCGTCGCGCTCCTCTTTCATGGCGGCTAAACTCGCGGCATGCTTCTCAGCGACCTCCGTCCACCACCGCCTGTTTGAGGCCTCACAGTTCGACAGATGCGCATTGAACTCACGAATAAGATTCTCGCGCATACGCTCCACCTCCGCCCGATGGATATATTCGGGACCCTTCAAGTCCTGAGGGCTCACCCCGTCCGAAGTGGCGGTCACCTCCCCTTGAGCAATGAGCTTCTGCTGTTGACGTTCTCGTAGGAGCTGCTCCCCACGCCGCTGCAGCGCAGCCAGCTGCTCTGTGGTGTACTGAGATCCCCCTAAATCGTGGCGCCGAGCCTCAAGCAACTTGCGAGCACGCTCATGAAGATGACCCCCTCCAGCATCTCTAGCTGCCGAAGAAGCGTGATCATGCGCTTGCACGATGGAGGGGTGTGGCTCCGCTACGATGCAGTCAGTCGCTGCGGCAGGCAATGAAGGCAATCCATCTTGAGGATCAGAAGACATAGTTCCCAAAAGTTACCCGTAGTTTGCCCAGTTTCTATCGCTAAAGGAAAGACTCTGTCAAGGTCGTAGTTATTAAGACGTCTAAACAATGCTTGAAAGTAGTTGAAATAGGCCAAAAGGGAAGCCAACAACAAAGAAATAACAATTATAGATGACGCAATGATATTATTTAACAATAATAATGTGAATAATATCGAGTCCCTTATTCAATCTCCCTCCTTCTCAATGCAGAGGGACTCCTTAAAAATGTTCCTCTATTACTCTTCCCTCCTGGTCTAATCTTTTTTGAATTTGATTATTAACGAACTATACAAATAAGACTTGAAAAAAAAATAGGATAATATAGAGAAACATTGCATTTGTAATATACATCACAGATATAAAGCCAAACACACAAAGAGGAACATGCCCATAGATTTATAACAATGCGGAAAAATAATGAATAATTCGAATTTCCTCGTTATTTTGCTTTTGGTGGTGATAGTAACAAACACTACTCCACTAAAAGAATCAATAGAATCCATGAATAAAGCTATATTCAGCTGCCTCCCTCAGGGGTCTTAAGCCCCTGTATATAAAATTAATCGTTCATAATTTCCGTGACCCCTTGGATTACTCGACTTCATAAAATGTGCACTCGGATTTCAGAAAAGGCCATGGCATAGGAAAAAGTGGTGGTCATCATTTTTATACGCATGGTACTTGCCGGTGGTGCCTACACATCCCCACACACTCAGTATGCGCTCCTATCATAGTGTGTTCAATAAAGCTTGGTCCGATGGGCGGCTAGCCTAGATACAAATATGTTCGATACTTTGAATATTGATGAAATCACCCCTAGAACTGAGTAAATTAAAAAATCGAACAGTATGAGGAAAACGGACAGGAATGAAGCCCATCATAAGCAAAATCAAAGGTAAAAGGAAGCAATTATTAAGGAAATGAATTTTTCGCACATGTCTGTCTGTGTTTATTGACTATTTTATATACCAATACATTCATCTCGACTGACGAATTAAGACAATTAGTAAGAGTAAAAACAGTCTCATAAAAAAAAATACGCTTATTCTACTTGCCTTTATTTCCGAAGGAATGGTGCTAACTCTTTTCTTTTAGACAAAAAATCCAAGCACTTGCTTTTCTTTTTGACAATTTGATTCAAATTTACTTTTCAAAAAATGCATGAAAGCCTTGCTATCCTTCCTCTGCTTTAATGTAAGGAAAAATTTAACAATACTACGGTAAATATTCTCTCTGTGCGTATCACGTCGTGTCCCAGAGAAGGAGCAATAAATGGAGTTAGGGAATGGTGGTTCGAGAAAACAAAATTGTAAGAACTCGAAAAGGCGAGAAACAGACATAAAAATACATATTCAAGCTTAAGTGTGCCCACTAAACCCACTGCGGTAAAGTTAGGATATATATGCTGAAATTTTGACAAGTGATGAACGAATAGTACCGATGTGTGCAAAATATTGCAAAACAAATATACTGGTAACTCTTAGCTAGAGTATGATCTCCACCTTTCATGATTCTGGTGTTCTTTCATGATATCTAGATTTATTAGTACATATCCTGCGCAGGGGGGATTTAGAGGGTAAAAAAAGATATAAAGGACTTCTTGGAGAAAAAGAATGAAATAATAATAATAATGCAACACGGTCATAATGAATACGTTCCATTTTTCTCTCTTATGTTTTCATTTGACTGCTTGTTTCCCGTCTCCTTCAATGCCTGAACTTTCCCTAGAAAGAGAATATTAGACTTAAATTATTTAAGATCACGATCATAACTCGAAAAGCTAAAGATCAGTATCTCGTATAAACACATATAGAACTTTTCAATCCTAAAATGGGAGATTTTTTTCCACCTAAAATAGATATATATTTTTGAAATCAAGTATAAGCCATACTTCTAAAAAAATATCAGTCGATTACCTGCATGTAGGCTACAAACACAAAAGTAAAGGAATACACACAGAAATACGCATCATTTTATTCAAATGTCTAAAGTCTTTCCCTTCAACTTCTCATTTTTTTAAGATCTAGTTTTCCCCATCAAAAAGGGCACTATACAACAACTCCTTTTCATCCCTGTAGCACTTCTTATTGGATATTGTGATATCATCATATCGAATATACGGACATCTCTCGCTCCTCATAAAGATACTGTAACATCCGAGGCATGAAACATTTTTTCTTAAACTAAAAGCAGAAAGAGGATGAACACTTCTTCTTTCCTCTTATGTGTGCCATGCAAGAGCTTACGTATGCTATATTTTCTTTTTCTTCCCCCCTACCCGTCCCTCACTCCATACACACGCATTTATTTCTTCTACCTACGATTAATATTTAGAAAATCAGAAGGGCTATTATTCGCCAAAACCCTCATGTTTTTTTTTTGCTCACTTATTTTAGTCCATGCACATTGCTCTACATCCTCCTCTCTCATATCAACCACCTAACTTTCACCTAATCAACATGGTTTCCTTCTGCTACGCTCGAATCACAGTCTGACTCTCAGGCTTCCAAAGGTTGTGAATATCCGTTGGGGGTGGACCATCCAGATGCAGCACCCACTTTTCATAGAGCAAGTTCAAAGTATCCACAACCACCGTCGTGTTCAATAAAGCCGGTGACGTCACGATCGACGCATCGTGGTAGCGGTACGCGATCAGTAAGAAGAGGGCATGGAAAGTGAAATTCATGATCTTACGTAGCTGCGTGGCGATGTCTGGGATCGCCTTGAACTTGCTCTGAAGGTGGTCGCAGCGCTCCTTGGGAGTGTTGCAGTTACTTTCATAATCTGCAGGAAAGACTAGCACGTAGTGCAGCAAGAGGCCACCGATAGACGACGGTACGTCGCTGAAGGGAAGGAGCGGGATGAAACGATCGTATTCATTTATGTGGCAATTGCTGCAGCCGGAGAGGAACACCGAAGCGGTGATCACCTCCATCAGCTCACGCAGATCACGATTCATAGCCCGCACCATGACGGAGAACCCGCAAATGTGGCGGCTGTAGACCGGCGCCCACTCGAAGTTGCCGTCTGGGGAGTCGTCGAGGTACGGAATAGAGATGAGGCAGGCGATGCGGGAGGCCAGCAGCACCTCCCCTGCGTCCTCAGCTTCATCCTGCCCCTCGGCCTCAGCTTCGTCGGCATTAAAACAGATGTAGCGGCAAGGAACACAGTTGAGGATATTGACGCGCAGCAGCTCCGTAAAACGCACAAAGGCACTTTGGAATTCCAACGGGCAGGCCCGCATTGACGCAATGAGGAAATCCGTGAAAAAGGGTTCCTCTTCAAAATCCTCCTGTCCAGAAACAACTCCAACCCCATCATTATTGATATCCTCTGGGCCTCCATTGGAATGCATAGGTACCTGCCTGGTATCAGAGCCCAACGTCACTGTCGGCACGGGCTGTATCATACTGCGGGCGATGTTTCCGTTCGCAACACTTCCTCCATTCTCACCACCGGTCCCCTGAGGGGATAAGTGCGAAAAATACCCAAGAAAATCGAAAATCTTAAGCATGATGGCAAAGATGGTCTGCCTTGCGCCGAAATAGAGCACCGGGGCCTGCCGACCAAACTCCGACGGCGGAGGTATGCACGATATATTTGTCAGTGATAGAACAGTGCAGATATCGACGTCATCAAGAGTGTCATCGTCTGCTTCGTTGATAACACGAACATTCTTGAGGTTCCACTCCTCAAGTAAGATCGTTTCACTTGGCCTTGATACTACCATAAGAAGGTTGGTGAACCACCGCACCCACGAGATCTTCTCCAGTCGCTGCTGACAACTGGGGTTGAGTTTGTTAACCAATTGAGAGAGGGTCTGGCCGCGCAGACCGATGAGTAACGGGAGGTGACCGTGATAGTCCATGGTGTCGCTAACTGGAAATTCATCACGGAAGTATGACTGAGCGATGATCGTCATAAGACTGACTGAAAGCAGCCCAATGTACTGGAAGTAAAAGAGCGAGAGGGGTAAAAAGTTCCCAAAGACACCGGAGAGGTTGTTAGGCATGTTTGCATTGGTCAGACTCGTATCGAGCACACGCTTGAAGTAAACTAACGGAGAGCCTGAGAAGCTCTTGGAAAATACGGCGCTGTATTGGATATAGCTACGGCCCTTTGCGTGACTGATTTGTTCCGAACCGATACGCGTTCTTTCAGGACCAGTGTTGTTCTTGATGGCATAAGAATTAATGAATTCACGTAGAGTTCCAAAACGAGGCGTGGGAGAGGACAGTTCCTCATAAATCTCGTTGGTGGTGAGAGACAAGTGAGCTCGCGTTGGGGCAAAAACTGGATGCGTGGCGATCAGCAATCCGAAGTCCAACAGTCGGTCCCCAGCAGATGCAGTGCCATTATCGCTACGAATCAGTTTTGGGAAAAGCTTCCGAAGAACTTCATCACGGTTAAAATAAGCCACCTGCTCATTCTTCAAATCGATCTCCACGATGAGTCGCATGGGCTCGTAGGGAAGCATTAGCATCTCTGGTGGCCCCATTAGCAAATCGGCATCGCACTCCTTGTGGAACGTGACCATCTGGCACCAGTTAAGGAAGGGAGCAGTTAGCGTCAGAACGCTTAACTTCTGGCGAAGAAAACGCTGGATGGCCATGAGGACGTCCTCCCCAATGGAGGAACTGGTATAGAACGCTTCAGCGATCTCGTCGGAAGTAGGTAAAGTTCCATCTGTTAACTTGCGCCAGACCCTGTTCCGCGCAGCTAGCTCCTGGCTAGAGGGCAGAAGTGCCATGACGTCGCCACTGGTTGTAATGCCATTGAAGATCCAGATTGGTTCGAGATTCTTCTCGCGCATACTCATGACGTGCTCTTCGACCAGCTTCAACAACAAATCCGGTAGGGAGGAGTACATAAACCACAAGGGGTCACGATCCCGCAGTTGGGCTCGCAGTTGGGTGACCATGTAATTCGCATCCATCGCCACGCGGAGGGGTTCACCTTGCTTGGGGTCCACGTTCGGTGGGAAAAACTCCCACAGAGGACACGCCTTGAGTAGTAGACGCTCTTTTAGGAAATCATAGAGCGACTCCCGCGGTTCGGGCCCCCCGTCCACCACTGGGACAGGGAAAATCGGATTCAAAGGTCTATCGTTCGGCACCATCCCCACAGGTGGCATCGCCGGCATGTTAACCTGAGGTGTGTACGCGGTCTGCGGCGTTCCCACCCCCAGAATAGGCATGGGCCCCTGCTGAGGAGGTTCGTTTTTGATCGCCGGGGTGCCCGCACGCTCGCGACCGCGTGGAATGGGTAGGCCCGTCCCCACACTCACGGAACCCGAACCATACGAGGGCCCAGTGGCGGGGACGCCCGCGTGATTCCAATCCATCCGATTCCCCCCGGTTGGACCCATGTTCCCCATCATGCCCGAGCCACCTGGGCCCTGTTGCGGGGCCGGAAACCCCCCCGGGCTGTAGCGCATCGGGGGCACCATGCCGTTGTTGTTGTTGTTATTGTTGTTGTAGCCCATCATTGTGCCATTCCCCGGCGGCGGCGCGAGATTCCCGCGCTGCTGGGGGGGCTGCTGGAGGGGCTGCTGGAGGGGCTGAGGCTGTGGCTGCGGAAGCACGGGCTGGCCGTAGTTCGTGCTCGGGCTAAGCGACTGGGGCGGGAGGTGATAGCCACTCCCCGGTGGCGGGGGGCTCAACGTGCCGTTGACGTAGCTGCCATCCGGACGCATCGGTGCTGGCGGGCCTCCAACGGGAAAGTTGGGAGACGAATCGATGTGTGGTGGCGGCACAGAACCACGATAGCCCCCCCCAGGGAGAGGAGAGGGCGTCCCTTGATTCATATTATTGTAGTAGGACGGCTGATGTGGTGGTGGGTGGTTTTGCATGCCTGGAACCGGTGTATGCAGGCGGCGATTGGAACCCCCCCCACCAGATTGCTGCGCCTGCTGTGGGTAAGGGGAGGGGTGTACGCCATAATCCATGTCATATATTCCTTGAGGTTGCGACACAGCTGGCGGAAGAGGCTGCTGCATGTTTTCACCAGGACCGTACATATTGTTGTTAAGATTGGTATTGCTAAAGTTAGGGCTATAAACCATACCAGGACTATTATTGCCCCAATCCCCCTGCTGTGGCTGCGGTGTGGGAGGCATCATCGGCTGGTTACCGTACATATTACCGCCATAGTTGACATTGTTGCTATAATTACTGTGGTGGTGGTGGTGGTGGAAGTGGTGCATATGAGATGGAAGGCCTGGCATGGGTTGAGCGGGTGGCGGTGGGCCCTGAGGCTGAGGCTGGGGCTGCGGCTGCGGCTGCTGCTGTTGTTGCATGGCCTTTTGGCCTGATCCACCTCCTCGAGACGCTCGCGGAGGCATCTTCCACGTGAACAAATCCTGAGGATAAGAAGAAAAAACGAATCCCGGTCCGGTGGGGTATCCTGTTGTGAATATGCAAGTTCAGAAAGAAAAAAATGAAGCAATATCGATCCCACTTAGCCTATTGCGATCAAACTTTGAAAAGAACTGCAAAGATTGTCGACAAGGCAAGAGACTCGCAATTATCGACTGTTTTTACTTTTAGCACTGTTCAGTGCAAAGTAGGCAATTTCAATTTTCTTTTAGGTGTGTAAGATTGAGAGTATATTTCTTTCTTCGTGTTGTGGTGTATAGGTCCGAGCACACACGCACACAGGCACAGGTGGAATGAAAAATGCCACTATGTCCACCCTTCGTGAAGATATCGCTCTCAGCTCAAACACTGAAGGCCTTAACTTAAACAAACTCAAAAGTTCGTTAAAAATTAGAATACATAAAGCTGGAAAAGGAAAAAGAAAATAAGGAATAGTAGATAATGAGTAATTATGATTGGAACATAAATCGGTATAAAAAATTCCATGTTACCCATATATTGCTTTTAGAAAAATGGACACTTAAATGCTTTTTAACTCTTGACTGATTAATCCTCATTGTTAGACAGTTTATTCTGTTGTAATACTACTTTTAGGTTAAAAATTGCACTTCACCTCATTCACAAAAATTATCATTGGGACAACTTGTTTGTTTCCCCTTTTGGCAAACATCCCCTTTTAAGGTAAGCACAACCACATAGGACATATTAAGCTGATAATCTATCTCATTGCCTTCAACGTATCATTACTGCTACTCAGGCGAAATTTAATCGATAAACACTCAGAGAACACAATATTAGAATCAAAAACGAACTTTAAAAAAACAATTCACAAATCCCTCTAAAAGTAAGCAAAATGAAAAATTATACTACGAGGTTAGCGAAAGGATTTACTAATTTAAAATACTAACTGTTCGTAATGTAATATTTCCGCTCTCATACAAGCGGATTCCTTCTTTAGTACCTCACCTAAATGCTGATCTCTACGAAGTCTCAGCCGGTAGTGTTACTTTTTTGAAGATAACTTCCCCCTCCCTCGGGGGCGCTATCTTAACTCCGGGCTCCATGATACCAAAGCCAAAGTTTTCGACCCCAATCCGCTTTTCTTCAGGTACGCCAAGCATGTTCAGAATCAAGGCCGACTTAGTCGGCAGGACCGGCTGGAGCAGCGTCACACAAACCCGCACGCCCTCCATGGTGATGTACATCACCGTCCCAAGCCGCTCCACGTCGGTCTTCACCAGCTTCCAGGGCGCGTTTTCCGTGATATACCCGTTGAGCTGGCGCAGCACGTCGAACACGGAAATCAGGGCCTTCTGGATATCCGGCAAACAGTAGAAGTGGTCCATCGTCCCGCTGAGGTCGCTAATGGACTGAATCACCTCCTGGTCGTTCGCGTTGTAGGGCCCTGGGTTCGGCCATACTCCCTTAACATTTATTTTAGGTGCCACACAGCGCATCACCAGGTTCCCAAGCGTGTCGGCGAGCTCAGAGTTCAGCCGGGCAACCATGCTCTTGTCGTTATAGTCACCATCATCGGAGAAGTTCGACTCACGAAGCAAGAAGTACTTGAGAGCATCGCAGCCAAACTCCTCCGCCTTCTTGACAGGGTCGAACACGTTGCCAAGGGATTTGCTGATCTTTTTGTGATCCTTAGTCCACCACCCGTGCGCCACTAGCTTCTTCGGCAAGGGCAGACCCGCGGACATGAGAAACGCCGGCCAATAAATGGCGTGGAACTTGAGGATGTCCTTACCGACTACGTGAACATCAGCAGGCCAGCGCTTCAGCGTCTCCTCGTTGTCCAGTAACACAACCGAGCCGTCTGGTTGAATATCGATGCAGGCAGTGGTTAGGTAATTGAAAAGTGCATCCAGCCAGACATAGATGCAGTGCTCGCTGTTTCCCGGAACTGGAATCGCCCAGCCTTGCACAGATGCGAACTTGCGAGAGACGGAGAGATCCATCAAGCCCTTTTCGACGAGCCGAATCACCTCACCGCGACGAAACTCGGGGACGATGCACTCGGGGTTGCTGTGGTAGTATTCGAGCAAACGATCACGAAAATCGCTTAAACGAAACATGTAGTTCTCCTCCTCAACCCACGAGACAACGTGTCCGCTTTCCAGGCTGATTTTACAAGGTTTACCGTCCTTGTCGACGCCATCCGTGATATTCTGTGCAGTCAAAAAGGATTCATCACTGACCGAGTACCATCCCTCATAGCGTCCTAGATATATGTCCCCTTTCGCTTCCAGCTTACGCCATATAGATTGCACCAACTTCTGGTGGACTTCAGAAGTAGTGCGAATGAAGTAATCCACATTGTAACCCATTTGCTGAAAGCAATCCTTGAACTCACCACTCATCTTAGTAGTGAATTCATAAGGTGTGAGTCCATTCTGTTTCGCGGACTCAGCAACCTTTTGGCCGTGTTCATCCGACCCCGAAGTCACAAACACTTTTTCGCCCTTAACACGGTGGTAACGCCCAAGCACATCGACGATAAGGGTGCTGTACACGTGGCCAATATGAGGCCCGGCATTTACATAGTAGATTGGGGTTGTCGCAAAAAAGGTCTTTTCCAGTTTTGGAGATATCTTGTACTTACGTGGGACCCTCAGGAAATCACTGGGCTCCTGAACTGACAATGCTTCGCATGCCAAACCCAAAAGCTCCTCGTGTAGGCATTGATATATGCGGAACCACTCCATCAAATGTGGCAGCATCTCGCGCTCTTCATCCGACAAGAGTCCACCGTCGCACAAGGCTGGAAACACGCCGCAAAACACAACAGTATCCACTAGGAAGGAAATCCGAAGTGGCTCGAAAGAAATACTGCATATGCCTTTCCCCTCATTCTTCTTGATGGCGTGATCAAGAGTCCGAAATGCTTCTCTAGCCTCAGGGGTCACACAACCCTTGGAGTAGAACGGCTCAACAGCCGAGGTAAAGAGGTTCGACTCCCATTCAAGCCACTGCATCTCATCCGGTGTTGTCTCTCGATCAATGGGGGCGTACAACTTCGATGGAAATCCGTTTTTGCAGAAATCCAAAGTCGAGTTCTCCTTGATAGCGCCTTGACTGAGAACGAATTTTGCCATCTCGTTCGGCGTAAAGAGCTTTTGGCCATCGTTGGGGATTTGAAGAAATGGAATAGTATGAGAAGCACTGATGGAGACCTGTAGTGGTCTAGAAACGAAATTCGAGCAGAGAATCGGCTTGAGGGCCTGGTGGTTAGCCTTCTCTGTAAATAACCTCAAAAAATTCATTTCTTCTCCTGTTAAGCTCATACCGATATTTTAGATAGGAACAATTGAAATATTTACGACTGCCTTCGGGACAATTGTGGGTGTGTATCCAAACAGAATTATCACAAAAAGCTTGAAGCTTGTGATAGAGAGATATTGTCGACAGAGCAAAAAAGAAAATACAGAAACACATCAAGATATATACCCATATTGCATCAATAAGTCGGAACCAAAAAGAAACAGTCATACACATAAGCATGCGTGGCAGCCTCCCAAACCACTAAGGTAGTTGGGAAGCTACGTAAAACAATATGAGCTTCCTATTTTTGCTGCTGCTTGAGTACGTTAAGTTAGATTTTATTCTTAGTATGTTGATTTTTAATTTGCAGAAACACAAATATCTTCATCTTCACAAGCAAAATCACACCGGTCAGAAAGTTACGACGAAAAAAAAACTGAATATGTAATGACAGTAAGCGGTGGTGTATAGAAAGGTGTTGTGAAGTAAACTTTAGCCTACCTAAGCCATTAAAAATTAAAAGTAACGCCCAGCTTCATTGTGAAGCAATAATGTGTGCATCGATATGTCAAATAACAACGATTTAACTTATCCATCACTCCCACCAACAAGGAGAAAAAACGCCCTAAAAAGATAAATGGCGAAACAATAAATGAACAGAGGCGCCATTGTTAGATGACATGCCTGTAATATAAAAATATTTTATGAAGTCGCATGAGGAATGGATCCTATAATTAGCAAAAAGTGAAAAAAAAGTATTAAACTGAATGAATCCGGAATTATTCAACTCTAAACATGGGCACCTCCTGGCTCTGAGATGAAGTGTAAACGAACTGATCAACTGTTAAATTGCTCTCTCTAAGCTATTTCTTCCACAGCATTTGTTGCGATTGTGAAAGTGCAACAGGGTTTGTGTTGCCTCCTGTGGGTGTCGTTATATTGATGGATGTGGGCACACCCGCGCTGCGAACCTCCAGCGTCCGACGCAGCTTCACAAAGATCTGCTCCAAGAAGGGGGTGTGGATGAAACTCTTTTCCCAGAACTTAAACTTTTGGTTGCGCATAAGTTCTACAAAGGTGCTGAGCACACCCCATGGGTGTGGCTGAACAATCACTGTCTTCTCCGCAACTACGCGTGTGATCTGCTCCTGAATACAAATTTGTGTATGGTTGTCCACATTGGGGCTCGGCATGAATAAAGCAAACATCACCTTAGAAAAGAAGTTGGTTTGAATATTGGGATACCGTAGGTGGTTCGCACAGGCACAGAAAAAGTGATACCGATGCTTGGTACTAAAGTTCTTGCAAAGGTAGCGATAGAGACGGATGGGATTGGAATTGTTGAAAGTAATTGGAATCGTGTTGTTATGTGCATCCAGATAGGTAATGGCCACATGCAGCACCACCGCATTCATTAACGACCAGCGTGTCGTATTTGAAAGACAGTTCAGAACCGTTTTCATGTCGTTCTCGGGCATCGGCTCATCATCCTTGGACATATATTCTGTGAGCACTGTCGGATCGAACTCCTTACTAAACTCGATAAAGGTAAAATTGATACATTCAGTCTGCACCTTTGTTCCCAAAAGCTTAAGCATATCCGACGTATCATTGGTGACCTGTTGGAATGGTTCAGGCAGTCGGATCTCAGGCGGGAAGGAGCACAGAACTGTATTAAGCATCTGCACACAGTATGGCGGAATGGCATCGCACAACGGGTAGTGGTACTCGATAAGGAACAACGGAAAATCGTGAAGTAAGATGAGCATGAGCTTGAAGACAGATTTATAAAAAACGAGACCGTTTGACGAGATGGCGTTACCCTGAGTCAGAAACTCGATAAAGTTCAGGGCATCTATGAGCAACTCTGCGTATCGGCCCCACATCTCTGTTTGGCGCAGACAACGAGGTATAAACGTTCGGTGTGCAACGAGTTCCAACCAACCAAAGGCAAAGGCGGGGTACTGGCAAGGCCGAAGCCGATGCAAAATAGTTTGGAAGGCCTGTGAAATGTCATCCGGCATTTCTCGACGACTCGACGACTCCTGACGCTGAATAGCTATCATAAGATTACTAATCAGACGTACGTAGGGCTGTTGCTGGAAATATGGAATGAAGGCACAGTTAGGAGGAAGTTTCTTTTGGGGGAACTGCTGTGAGGCCACATTATCATGGTGAGTTGTAATGATCCGCAGGAACACCTCTAGGACACGGCGCAGCAACGTAATTTCTGCCCGCTGCTCGCGTGAGGATTCGTATCGCAGAGAACAGCACCGGAGCAGCACTAGCACCATATCTGTGAAGCCGTCGCACTTAAGGAAGGGCTTGGCGGAGTAGGGTACACGATACGGGGGGGGAGCGCCCGGCTTATTGCCAATAGGTTCCCGCTCTACCATATCTGGGTTCTCGCGGTCCAAAGAGAGCGATACGGTAGCATAGTGCTCTACACAGAGGCGAATGCTGAGTCCGAGGAGGATAGACAAGCTACTGTTGTCGAGCAAGCCATTGGACTGCAAAGTTTTGACGAACTCCACAGACGGATTACGCTCATCACTCGAGTGGCGGTGGCTCTTGGACCGTGACCAGATCTGAATCCATTCCTCGAGTAATCCATCGACCAGCTCAAGTTTATCGTCAAAGAGTGTGATGGGGACCAAAAGCTTTACAACGGAAGGATCTACCAGCTTGCTCAAGGGTTGCGTGACGACGTAGGCAGGGCTTGGTGCGAGGGGCGAGGCTCGAATGGTGTTGCGAGAGTGGGCAATCGTATCGAGTGCGGTTAGCGTGCGCCGCATGTCCTTGGATGAAACCACCTTATCCTTAATAATCACAGTGCTAATGATCTCTCCTGCGAAGTTGACATAATTGGGCGCTCCTGTGGTGAGTGTCTTGGCTAAGTCTTCATCCAGATGCGCGATGTTGAGTATCTTGATGCGCATAAGATCCGCAGTTAATTTATGGTAGTTGTAACGTTGCGGACTTTTGAGGTATAAACGCGTGAATTCCACACGTACTGGCTCCCCTCCACGATCGACGCAGTTTTGCAAAATTAATATATACATCTGATGTACTAAGGTGGCGATTTGCATGCTGCGGTTGTTAGCACTGACATCTGCTGCTACAGAAGCGTCATGTGGATGGGTTTGGTTATTTTTATTGATGTTATTTAGCTCCTTGTTCAGACGATCAATTGTGCCGGCAAGCATCATCACCTTATTAAAAACCGGACTGATATAGTAGATCGCGGACTCAGGGGTGATAAGACTTAGAAGTCCCAAAACGCGCTGGCGAATCACGCCGTGACCTTCGTTGGTGTTACCCTCCATGAGATGTGAAGTGTTCAGATCTAGAGGGACATATTTATCAGTGGAGTAGTATTTCGAAATCGCCTCCTCAACACTGCGCAGGCTGGCATTAAAAAGGAAGACCGCAGGCATGCAGTTGAAAAATTCACAATAAATGTCCTTCTGGTACGGAAGCATGCGGCCCGGTGGCACTAATGTGTCCCCCATCACGCGCAGTAGTTCCTCTGCCTCGGCCTGATCTGTAGGAATACGCAAGGCCGTGTTGTTAGCAGCTGCCATGAGCTTCTCGCGGACGACATCCGCCATCTTCGCGTGCAGAGATTTAGCGGCCCCCTCACTAGCCATATACTCCAGTGCTCGGATGCACAGCTCCTCATTACTTGCCCAAATGGCGTTACTCAGCATACCAGGTTGCTGGACGGGGCGGTCCATGAAGCGTGCCTCCAACGCAGTCGCACCTTTTGTAAGAAGTGCTGGGAGAGCATCACGGACCGTTGCAAAGCAAAGGCTAGCCGCCAGGGAGCGCGCCATGGCCTCCCCAGCCAGTAGCATATCCTCCACAGTCACGTCACGGGTAAAATCCTTGGTAACGATGTTGAACGTCGACAGTACCGCCACAGCCTCCGAGCGCGCCGCGTAGTTATTGTAGGCCTCCTCCACTACACTGCGTAGCATGGAAGCAAGCAGCTGGCGATACTCCCCTATACGGCTGCCAACGATTTGTAGCTCCTCATCTCGAACGTGTACAGTCTCAGGTAAAATTAGGATTGGCGGCCTTCGCGGGATGTCCAATTGGTCAACTATTTCCTGCACATTGTGGCTCGCATTCGCATCCTTTGGCTGGAAGGGCTCCGCACTCGCCTGCAAGGGGCGTACGCTAGTCCGAAGTGCCTGCTGCTGGGCTGTGGGAGGTTGTGTATTCGGCGACAACTGCTGTGGCTGATCCGGAAGCCCACTGTCATCTCCAACACGGAAGTCTGGGCTTTTATTGATATCGATATCTTTCAAAGCATCCTCCATGTGCACAGTCGTGGTCGAAAGAGATTGGTGCATGCGCATGTATTGATCCACATCTAATAAGGTCACATCCAATTTATTGCAGAGTACCTCAACCTCAAACCTCAGCGTCATTTTGAGGTGTTTGAGCTGATAGACCTCTAAGAGAAGACAAAGCTGCGCCATAGTCCACGGGTTTGGTGGACAAAAGAAGCGAGATCGTGCGCAACTGTTAAGCACACGTGTCATGAATGAAACAACGGCGACCAGCTTCCCCTCGCGTAGGCCCTGGAGAAGGAGATCCCTGAAGCTGAGATCCTGCTGGAGGATGGGAATGCTCTTCTCTAAAGTGATACTGCCTAGCCAAGAGCCAAGGTTGCGCAGCAAAACACGGTCGCTAGATTCAGTACGGAAGGTATCGGAGACCAAAAGGCGCTTAACAGCAGCGACGGTGGCAACACGAAGGGCACGGTCAAGGACTTTGGAGTTGAGCTTGGCGACAAGCTCGATATAAATGCTATGGTAGTTTGGCTCCAGTGCGGCCCGCTTCACAACCAGGTAGTCAGCAAAGTACTCGTAGTACTCAGGGCGCAGCAATTGTGAGAGCTCCTTCGCATTGCTTTCTAGCTTATGCATATCGGTGTTGCCAATTAGAAAGTTCATCTGCTCCTGAATAACGCGAGGAGGTGAAGTGACGTTCTTGTTCGTGATTAAGGTGGCAATATCTAGCGTATGTAACTTAGATACCACAGATTGCTGCTTCATGGAGGTGCCATCCGACTTCGTGACCGAAACAATGGCGGAGTCAACGATGGGGAGGTTGTTTAACTGCACTGAGTTGGTACCTGTGGAGCGCTGGTCAGTCCCTGAGCTCGTATCGGGATTCTTGGCGGACTCTTCCTGCTTGAAACCACGATTAATAGCGGCCATGATCCCAGGGACACGGAAATCTAAATCCTTAATGTGTCGCAGCGCACGACCATACTGAGGCCAGTCCGCTAAACGTGGCTTTATATATTCCAGTGCAATCAGACCATACTCCTCAACAGCATAGCTACTTGGCTTCACTATAGCGGGAAGAAGCAGGCCCCACGCACGCTGCTGCTGATTCGGGGGAAGCAACTCCTTCGCAATCATCTGGCCGTACAGCTCAGCAAACAACTGGAGCTCCTTCCGAGGGTAACACCCGATAACCAAGCTCTCGTCGAACATGATGCTAACGATACATGCGTAAAGTTGACGGTCGCGCGCATTCTCACTTTTAAGGAGAGACTCAATGTACGCAATAGCGTTCGCTGTGGACCCAGTGGAATGCATGGTTTTGAAAAAATCTGTCGCTTCGGCCTCAACATCCTCTGGGAAAAGTGAATCCGTCGAGGCTAAAAGTCCACGTGCACACTCCAGAACACTTTTAAGCATATCCTTCAAGGGAGAAGCCAATAACGCATTGAGGGCAGCGGTGGCGCTCGCTACATACATCTGTTTTTCCTGCAGCATCTCTGCCACCTCTACAATACCCATGGCAACTGAAAAGCGGTTCTCCGTACAGCTGGCTCGGAAGTGCAGCTTACCCTCCAAAGCTTTTTGAAGCCATTTGTCGCTTGGCTCACCCGCCTCATCCATGCACATGGCGATCGCGACGACCAGACGTGGGCTACCACTCCCCTTTAGAAAGCGCTTTATTACGGACTTGCACTTGAAAATCATTCCCAGAACATCCACAATGCGACTTTGGGACGAAACCGTGAGCTCTGAGAACATACTGATAAGAGAATCCAAACGGTTGCGCTTCTCCGCTTCAGGAATAATGTAAGTGGCTACCTGATCCAAAGGAGGACAGCAGTTGTTGAGGATGTACTTTATAGTCACAAAGTTTTCTATAGTACCACTATATGTGCCAAAGAAGAGTGTGTAAAGGAACAACAACGGCAACTTCTCCACAGCAGGGCGAAATACGTCGTTGTGGAAATCCTTGTTGCGCGCTGCTACGTGGACGGCGGCTTCTACAAAAGCAAACGTGCGCCACAAGTCCATCTCAAGTGAAGCCATGCCTGCTGGTTTGATGCTTGGCAAGAGTTCAACTGGGGCATCCAATGTGAGTCCTTTTCGGTTCACCTTATCTAAGTGCCGTAATATATATTCGAGTGCGTTGCGTTGCCTGTCGGAGTTCCTCCAAAGGCCCAGAAAAAGGGTGACCGAAGGGTAATCACCCCCCTGCTTGAAGCGGTGATAGGCGTCAAATATAACAGAAATACTCTTGAGACGGAAAGAATCGGCTCCAGGTTGATCCAGCAAGCGAATGATGTTATCCCAATCAAAATGGGTGTTTCCTTCGTGCATGGCATCTAGCAGTGGCATGGCATTAACGACAGTGTTATTGCCGCTGACACTTTTTGGGGCCGTCTTGCCGGACGCCGTCATCAAGGAGGTGTAGGAAGTGCTGTCATTGGGTGCATTCCCCTGAGAAGCAAAGAAACCCAAGACATCCGCCACATCCCTATCAGTAAACTTGTGAGGGAAAATGGAAATCAATTCACGCGAGTCTGCGAGAGTGGTCACACATCCAGTTCCAAGTTCTCGAAGGACATCAGCAACACTCACATGGGTGGCGTGGTGGGGAGTTCTGGGGAACAAGGTAACGCTAGATATCGGCGACAGTTGAGAGTCTAAAGATGGCAGTGTGCCAAGCTGCCGAATCAACGCCGCTATGGAACGGGTGGTGGTATCTTCCTCCTTAAAAGCGGTCGGTGGGACGTTGAAATCCTCGAGGAATTCTACGGCAGCCGCTTTGGAGGTTGCGCTACCAATGCTCAGGGCTGCTGAAAATTGCAATTGTTGCGTTGGCGAAAGCTTAAGGTCGGTGCTCATAATACTTATCAGGGACTTTTTTGTCACGACGTTCGGCGACTCATCCAAGGCAACTGCAACCAGCGACAATGCGTTTGGTCTGTCTAACGCCGCCGTGACGAGCTTGGTGGCTAATGTGAGGCGTTCGTCAGTGCGGTTGGAAAGGGCTGATCCGACTGTACACATAATGATAAAACGGTGAAACTCAATGCCCCGATTCGAGAATTGCTCCAAAGACGACAGAGTCGTCTGTAGAGTATTTTTGGACACAGCAGAGAGTAAATATCGGATTGCCGCACCCTGGGAGGTGTTTAAATCCTCCACACGATCATGTAGCATATTATTATTGTGTATGAATTCGTGTGTCTTACTCCCCAGGTTGGTATATGTGTTATTGATCGAAATGTGCTAAGAAAAAAGAATTAACTACTTTGATAGCCAAAAGATCTAATATTTGACTTATTTATTCTGTTGTATTATTTCTATATATATATATATATAAAAACGATACACCGTTAAATTTGAATCTTCGAGAAGATTCTTCCTTACTAATCCTTAAATATGAAAATTGAAAAATAATAAAAAAGAAAAACTATCCGCCTAATATATTTTTTACCCTAACATCAAGGAAAAAATATGCGAGAAGGGAGAGAGGTAATTTGGTGGGACATAATGTATGCTATCGATCATAAAAATTTTAAAGAAACTTCAACTAGTCCAGGTTAAAACAACAGCTCTAGCAAATATATTTGGAATAGAAATATTCAAGCATAAACTTGACATCTACACAAGGTTTGTGAAGGCGAGAGATTCAATATTTTGTGCAAGGGTTCACAAAAATCGCATCGGGTTGGTTGGTATTTTAGTCCTCTATGGAGCATGAATCGTGTTGATCATTTACTAGTTGTTGAAGTTCTGAAAAATACAAATCCTTACCCAAACCACCTCCACCTACAATGAGTCTTGCAACCACTGCTAATTGAGTAATGATAAAAAAAGGAATTGATATAAAGTGCACCAGCACCCATATGGAAAGTTGTCCCAACCTCTGATGCAACGCGTGGTTGCCTAGGCTGTGCCAGTTTCACTTGGATTAGACCAATTGCTTGCAAAGCGAGAGGGAAGTCTCTCCAACTTGACTTTTATTATGTGGCACTTCCTTATATTCGATTTTGTGAAGCATTACGACGTATTTAACGACTAAACAGAAACGCATGTTGTTGTAACTTTCTTTCCTTAGATGATAATCCTTTGCCACTGGGTCTAGAAGCGATTACCTCTCTTTGGGGGTCTGATCTCATACTAAGGTCATTCTGGCGGTGGTGATGGAACGGAAAAGAAGGAAGAAGAGTAGGCAACAGAGGAATAGCGATAACCAATCAGTGAGTCTAACTGCACGCCACGCTCAACAAATAAAAAAGAAGTGACACTGGTTCAATGTCTAATTTTCAGCTAGATTTTATAAAATAAGCATTGAGCCTTCTGCCTTTTCCATAATCCGGGATTAAATAATTCCAGAAAAACAGATTAAGGAATAAAACATTCTGCTCATCCGCCTCAACCCTGATCAATCTTTGTAAGCATTCGCAAGTTGTAAACACGACGGAGATGGTTGAGAGATTCCCGACAAAAAGCAACCCGTTCATCCCGTTGGTTTTTAGACTCTTGAATTGTTTCCTCAAGAATTCGCGATATGCGCTCAAATTCGATGATTGCCGAGGTCGTCGCACCTGGTCCTGGATCACCAATCTCAACTGGCTGAATGTCGTAGTCTCCTAGCGGCGTACCTTTATATGTTGAATCGGTCGCACCACTAATATCAGACGGCAGTGTGGATGTGGTGGTGGTGAATAATAGTGGCACAGCTAAGGGCACTCCAGAGCTATTAAGCGGTAATGGTGAAGTTCCATTTCCGCCTCTATACGGCTGAACAGTGCTGCTTTGATTGCCAAAAAAGGAAGAGCCGTAGGTGCTACTATGAGAATCATCAAGTGGGTTTCTATCCTGCGAACTGTGAATTTGCTGTTGATGTTGGCACTGGAAGATTAGTAATTCTGCCGCAAGCGCAGCGTGAAGAGAGTAATAACGATCAATATGATGCTTCACATGAAGCTCAATCTTAGCTTGGGCTTCATCTGATAACAAAACCGTTGAACCATCACAACACAAACTATTAGACGTGGAATCCTCCGGAGAAGCATGGATTTTTGCCCTCCGTACCATAGACTTCCACATACTCCCAAGGTGCTCTTTGATACGTGCCGCACGGAACTGTGAAATTGTATGGCTCAGCAGCTCCGTATTTCGGTCACCCTCTTCGTTTGCAGAGGCTTGGCTCAATGTAGTGTGACGCATCTGACCTCTTCTTACTGCCTCCAAACGCCCCAGGGAAGCGGGTATCGTCTTTGTTTTGTCATACCCCTTTACCTCGTCTTGTTCATTGTCGTACCCATTAGCAAGCCATGTCGCGGCGTCGCCTTCTAACGACTCCACGACATCCCAGTCGGTGACATGAGTGGGCGGGTCTTGATGCGATATGACAAAGGATAACAACAATCCCGCTGCACACAAGCTTCTGCTGCGTTGGAGAACACGCTTTTCCATCGCTAACAGGTGGGAAAGTCCCTCAACGACCCTCACGTAAAGATTGTGATTTTCATAGGTGCATAGTTGAGCATCCAGATAACTGTGTGGACCCAAGGAAGAAATCAACTCGTTGCGCTGCTGGAGAGCGCGTTCCAAGCGATTCAAAGACATTTGGATTAAATTCTGTACTGAAAGCACTCTTCGAAGGACAGTCTTTTCCACTCCTCCCGCACAATGTTGCCCTTGTTGTGGAACGAGTTGAGGCATGCACTTTTCGGATCTCTCGGCGCCAAGTATTCGCTCGATTTGACGCAGGCGGTGGGTAATGATCGCGCTTTCATCAAAGCTTGCAGGTGGCCACACAGTAGACTTGGAAAAGGAAAATAGCAGCCGTTCCTGATTCATGGTTAAGGCTATATCAAGCAAGGGGCTCCCCTCACTATCACTCGTCGCGGTATGATAGCGAAGGAGAAAAGGGTACCGTTGGTTTATTTCAACATACTCGGCTACAGTAACAAGTTGATATTGTTTCGTCAACCAAAGCATAACGAGCAGCAACTCGTGTGGCGATGCGTGAGTGGGGGTTTGAATGTAAAACTGATCCCGTTTATACCCCATCTGCGCAAGACAACGCACAAGCAAGCGCCAATCCAGTACTGACAATGGAACGCGCAACCACCTAGCATAGGATTCATCGAGGGCATTCAAATCTGATGTTTTCAGTGAGTCATGGATGGAGTCATTGCGGCAGAAATGATGCGTACGTCGCGGTTGAACTTTGGGCACACCACCAGGGGTCTTATCGCCCACTAAAGAACTTCGATTTGATACGGAAGGGTTCGGCTGCCACCGCCGCCTTGGATCCTCCCTTGGCCCTCTGGAATTATCTGTCCGAGAGTGTGAAGCTGTAGTCTTAGTCCATGACAACGGCGCGGGCACTAAAGAGGGGGGGCGGTCTGGGCCCGTCGAGCTACCAGAGGCACACCCTACCCCGTGTGTGTTCTTTGGGCCATGTGGATTCACTTCGGGATTGCTTTTCGTGTCATAAGCAGGACATTGATGCAAATCAAGAAGAAAAAGACAATAGAAGACGGTATTAAAAAGCAATTGAAACAGACCATTGGAAATCCGCATGATCCCAGGATAGGGATAGGTCCCTTCTTGCACCACGTGGGAGTAAAAATCCTGGAGGCAGCACAGAAACATTTTGCCATATTCCGAGTCGTGAACTGCCTTTGTTGACTCCCCTGCAGCCCCGTGATCAAGATCTAAGGGAAACTCAGCATTCGGTCGAAAAGTAAAAAGACCAAGCGGCATCCACACATGTGTAGCGATGTCCACAATACCCTCGATCCATTCATGGTAAGATGCCGGTAACTGTTGCCGCGGGTAGGTATTTAGATTCTGTTGGCCCTGCGTGGGAAGAGATGCGCCCTTCATGCCCACCGTGGCCGTGCCAACTTGATTTTGTGGTCTGTTATGTTCTTTGACCTTTCTGATCTCCTCAGGTCGTTTTGTGTCATAAACCTGGTCACCGTCATCCACGCTTTCGCCCTCCAGCCCCACCAAATAAGAAGACTCTATCATTGTCTGAGATACAGAAAAAGGTGAAACTTCGGAAGGAAGTGAGGATGAATCTAAGCACCCTAAAGGCGACTTGATTTCAGATATTTCATCTAGTGCACTTGCAGGGGGACGAGAATACGAGTCCTTGGGAAGTTCTAAGTATCTTGCCTTGATCTGCTGCTTTCCCCGATGTTGGTTGTTTTTATCACATGTGGTATCTGGCACAAAGATTTTTCCGCTATCAGTGGAGATTGGGTGTTGAAGCTTTTCTTTGTGAGTGTCGTGGGGTTGGGGAGTATGACACAGAAAGAATTCTTCACCACCCCTAGAAGTCAATGAGTAGCCTCCACCTATGCGTGGAGACTCTTCCATCTTGAGAGTATACTCGTTAAGCAAGGAGGAAATGCGGCCAGTCGATGAGATTCCGGAGGGAAAAGTGTCTAAAGGCAGCTGCACCTTTGATGCTTGTGTAGATTTTCTTTCGTGTTTTAGATCATTCGAGTATGACACTTTTGAATCCCTATGTGTAAATGATTCTTCTAAAGAAAAACGCGGATTCCGGTGCATACTCACACGGCTTGCTTGCTATGACTCTTTTGCTGCTGCAATCGAAAGCTATAGCTTTATTGAAGTTCTATATTGTATATAGGTATTCTTATCAAGTAAGCGAGTGGATTGATTTGTTAATTTATTGTAAACGCTCCTCTATAGCTGTCCATAGAGTAGTATCTATATATATATATATATATGTATGTATATATATGTACATGTAACCAAGCGGAAAAATTTCGATAACGCAATATCGTTTTATTATTCTAACACATACCGAAACCATCAACTTTCCTGCATGGCTAAAACATTTTTGAGCAATAATAAGCTAGCAAAAGTGAAACTAATACATGTATATGTATACATATATATTTATATATATAATCTGTTGATTCTTATTCATACTTACCACACGAATGTGCTTGCTGTGACTAACCGAAGTATGCACAATTAAAATTGTATTTAGAATAACTGCATGTATGCATTACAGAAATACGAATTCTGATAGAAATGTGTTCTATTTTTCTCCGACTGGAGCAAACAGGGACAACAAAGCACGGGAAAGCAAAAAAGACATCGATAAAATAAATAAAAATATAATATAGGACACTCCATTTTCTAAATCAAAAAGTCATCCCACAATCGGGACCAAAATAGGTTCCACACTACGGCTAGTGTAGCCTACCTTTAAATGAATCAAGAAGGGGACCCTTCTGTTTTGAAGTTAATTCATCTATTTCAGAATATATATTTTTGGAAAGTCTGACAAAAGTGGAACGATTTACCCAATACCAACAATAAATTTAATGGTAAATATGCCACTATTAATCAATGAAAAAAATCGTAAAGGAGTATTGCAATCAAATTGCGACTTCCAGAAGAAATAATTCCCCATTTATGAAACCTGGTCCCTCCGTAATTGCGTTTGTTTTTCCTACATTAGTATGTGATATGTATGAATATAAATCAAAATATATAAGCGCAATAGAAAATATGAAGGAAATATATATATATAGCTAGCTTGTTAATTAGTGATAAAAACACTTTAGTTAGAGTGACATGCATAAGGTTCAAAAGTAATTTACCTTTGTCAAATTATTTCCATCTGCTATCATGGATAATTTGGACTTGAATGTCCCCCACTAAAAAGATAACAGCGTGTGATGGAAAATAAAAACTGTACCATTGTTTTTCTATATTCCATTTAGCTAGTTACACATCGGTGAGATGAGGTTAGAGAATATAGTAAAGCCTTAAAAATTGCGAATACCTGAGAGGTAAAATGATTCAGAAGGGTAAAAATAGCTATAAAAAGATAAAAATTGAAATTGAAATTGACTAATTTTTATTTGGAAGAAATTACCAATTCAAAGGTACACAGAAACACACAGAATGCTCCACGACCAATGAAATAAATACTAAATCGGCAGGAACGGCATAAGGAAAAAAATAATTGTCCACCTTAAAGTGGCTTTTCTGAGAATCACAACTGTGGTTTGTTTTCCTCTTTAGGCTTCCTGCACATTTTGGTCTTGAGGTCTACACAAATGAGCTAAAAAGAATGCCTATCGAACAAATTAGAATGAAAAGAGCAGATGCATACCAACCACAAAATGAAATTACAAAAGCAAACACGCGTAATCAAACGACTGTAGCTTTTTTTGGTTCACAGTGCGTTAAATAAAGTATTGAAGCTAGTCACATTCACCTTTGGAACTCAATCACCTAACAAAATAATTTAATACCAAACCAAAATATTCACAAAAACTCAGAAATGGAGAGATTTTTTGCTAGTAAATGCACACAATGTAAACTGTGCATTATTATTCCGAGCTATCATGCTGATATGTCATCTAATTTATTAACTACCAAATTTAAAATCACGTTTCCCACTTTCCCATAATCGATTCGCGCTGCTTTATTAAATGATACATGTAGCAACTACCAACCATAAATTATATGTATATATGCGAAACACTATATACACTTTTTAGGTTCACACAGTTCAGTTAGCAAGTACTAGCTTTTGAAGATTTAGATTCAATCATTTGCTACCTCCTATTTAACTATCATTCAGATAATTGAGAAAATTTGTTCCCAATACAACAGTTCTTTACTATGGCACAACCATGGAAGGACAATGAAACCAGAGTTACAGTACTTACTCAACAAGAAAATACACAAGCTTTCATAAAAGGGTTTTCGATTCAAAAACGAACACGTAGACTTCAACAAATGTATGCATAAAAGAACTATCGTTGCTTGTAATAAAACCGATTAATTCACAAAATACTTTTAAAAGAGCGTGTAGTTATCTTATCCTACGTATTATATTTACAAGAAAATGCAGTAATGGAAAAGAAGCTTCTTTGAGAATGAAGTTCACATTATGTTTCTTTATACCTCAATGGGAAGCAGAATAAAAGGCTAGTGGTATATTTTTCTATTCTTCAGTGTCATTCGGATATTGATTTTATAACTTCGAAAATCTATCTCGTCCTACACGTTTTTATTGTACTTATATATGAGCCAAAAAAAAAAAAACGAAATTCAGTCCCACCCGCATAATTACGTTCCACACTTTTAACGAAGAAACGTCCCTGAAGAACACGTACTTACATTCCGTGAGCAAGGGTATTAAATTCATCCCAACATATCCATTAAAGAGAAGTTCCTCGTTCATATATAAATATCTTTTTGATAGATCATATATTTTTGCGAGCTTAACTCGAGAGATAAAGAGTAAACAAATTACTTCAATAAGTACCGAACTCATAAAAAGGCGACAACACATGTTACTTTGATTGAATCTTCAATAAAAAGAATACTTTTTTCCAATTTCTTTAATTCAGATCAAGATTTTAATCAGTGTTTCTCCCAAAGAAAAAAGCTCATCTATCGAAGTGGCAATACCTTTGTACACAAACATACTTCTTTTCAAGAGCAACACATGATAAAAATGAGGTCTTTTCCAAATGGAAACGTCAGATTTCCTGAAACTGTTTACACGACTTAATGCACTAAGTGTGCATTTTCTTCTTGCATTATTGGATTAAATAGAAGCATATATAAGCGGACAAATATACATATGTGCATATACCCATATAAAAATGCATATATGTGATGTGCATATTATACACTACCATTAACAGGTTTTAAAAAAGCGAACAATCTGATTGTTCTGTTCTTGTTATTTTTTCTCCTTTGGGAGGGAGAGAAACAAAAAGAAAAACTTAATTTATTTTCAATCACTTTCCGATATGTTCATTCTCATTTTCTACTTTATTTGCATGCCAGCTAAAATACTTGATACAAGAAAATCCATATTCACATCGTCCTTTATAGGCGTGCGAATCGTACTTGACGAAGTGCTAACCCCATCATCAGTGCTGCTGCCGCATTTCGGGAGTGTGACGCAGTTCATCTTCGTAGCTGATCCATTTGAAACGTTATTGTCCCGAGGTGTGGAGTTTTCTTGATGCTTGACAAACGAAGTATCAGGGGTCGAATCTTCGGTGATGTGATTTTCGTCATGCTGGCCGTTCAGGGTAGACGTGGCTGTATCGTTATCATTGATATTTTTAGCCAAAGTGTTCTTAGGACGGACGTCGTAGACGCGAAGGTGAGAACTGTTGAAGGTATAAGGAGTAGTGACAGCATGGGCGCCGGAGTTGGCAGAGCATAGGCAACTAGCCGGCAACATACCAGAGACGAACGAAAAATTTTGCCAGCATTCTGATGACGGAGAAAGCGTGGTGGAAGCCGGGTAGTTTAAGGGGCTTTTGGAAATATAGGTACTGGAAGTACCTTTTTCTGGAACCATCGAACCCGGCTCTGTTAAATTCCACGATGGTGGATGGCAAAAAGAGCTTTGTTCACTCTTTTGAGCATCACAAAGCGCATCAAACTCCGTATCACTTACTTCCCCCGCCGCCAGCATGCTAACTGAGTAGCAAGTTTCCGTAAGCACAACAGTCCGGGTAGTACTGTTAATTCGGCTGAGTGTCGTAAAAACATGGGGAGAGAGCTGCAGATGAACTTCCGATTCACGGCAGATGTGAATATTATTGCAATCCTCCAAGTAGCGGCAACGGTGCGCGAGGTGGAGACGGCAAACCGATTTTGCTGGTATACTCAAAATAGCACCCTTCTCGTCGGATTCTGACGTCTCGTCTTTATCGTTTGACGTGCTAGGGGGTGCGTTGTGAACAAGATAACGTAGTAACCCGACCGTCGAAGCGACTCGCTCAGAGGAAATGGGCTCACTATTACCGCCCGAGCCGCTATTCAGAATTCGAACGTATTTAAAGCGGCTGGTTAGCCTTGAAATATCGTGAGGATCATTGTGAAAGTGGCAGCATGTTGGTGCATTGAGAGCCTCAAAACGGAGCTGCCGGATCGCGGACGGGTGCACGTGAGCCTGGCGGCACCAAGGATGACGGCAACGTCCCTCAAGGTAGGCGATGCAGAGCGATGGTACCGTCCCAGTCGTGGCAGTAGCTTCGGTAGGAGCCAGCAAATGCAAAGGCACCCGCAGCTTACGTGTTAACGGGTCTAAAACCCATATCCACTTCTCTTCCTTCTTGTTGGCGGATCCTTCATCGCTACCGGTGGTGATATTACTTGCATTCTCGCAAATGTTGCCCGTTGCATCATAAAACGATCCATGAAAGGATTCGGGGATCGCCGCAACACCTGTCATATCTCTTGGATTCAAGGGGGAAACTCACCTTTATGTCCACAGGTACGTGATTTACTAAACTTTAATGACTTTATGAACGGATAAACTACTAAAAGTAAAATCCAATTTTTAAAAAGATTTAGGAACTAAAGAGAAAAATCAAATAAATTGGTAAACGAATACGAAATGTTGAACCTCCTAGAACACACTATATATTTAAAAAAATGAAGTGAGGCTACAATATGCTTTAGCATATGATTTGCCCCCTCTATAGGTTTATCCTTTAAAGTTTAATATCCTTGATACAAAACGAATAAAGGTGATTTTATAATAATAGCAATTTCCAAGGGTAAATTGCTCCAGAAACTCATGTAGCACCTATGCACAGACACACACACTTCAGATTTAAAAAATGAGAAACTTGAAATAGGCCCCTTAATACAATACTACTCATAACCATTCATTAATGTTGTACATATCCTATAGCATACCAGTTTCTCATTTTTTAAAAGTGATCCCATGAACTCAAAAAGAGGAAAAAAAAGCGACAAAAAAAACACTATCATCAGTTTCGGCAAATCCTTTCTCCAGTTAGAGTAACTAACTCGCAGTATATTTGGGTAAATTATGCAGCATCCGTTCTTTGGTTATGAGATGTGACGCCTTATCTAGAAGTGCAACACTGCGCTCCACCGCCTCATTCCACGATGCCATCACTTCAGTTGTATTTTGGGGCGGTTCAAACACCACAAGTCCATCCACGCGATCTATCTTAGCGTAAAGCGTCTTGTTAGACACCATCGACATGATAAACGACTCGGTATGTGATTGTGAGAGTCCGACCAGCTCTGAAAGCCGTGAGAGAGGAATGCGGGTATAGAAACGTGAGATAACCATCAAATCATGCTCGCTAGATCGATTGAGAAGCAACTCTTGGCGCTCTGGGTAGTCTTTCAGCTCTGGATGCGTGGCGCATATCTCATCCACTTCCTTTTTAATTCTCTCCCTGATCACGTCAATGCTGTTGAACCGTTTAAGGAGAAGATACAAATTTGGTAAATCCTCTAAATTACTTTTGAGTGTTTCGGATATTTCTGAGAGTGCGGTTACTCGGTCTCGCATTTTCGTGGCGGGAGAAAATGCCGTGCATTCGGCCATGTCCTCAATTTCCTTCACAGTTGAATGCTCCGAAATGAGGTAGTGCACCAACATGTTACTTAAGGCTTCAAGCTTTTGTTTGGCGTCAGTAAGAGTGAGGTAAGTTTCATACCAGCAACGCCCTAAATTAAAATAGGAACCTTTCTTCGCATAGTATTGGCGCATAAGTGAAAAATAAACCAATTTCTGTTCCATGGCCTCCTCCCGACGTAGCGCGGAATGATTAATCTTTCGCGAAACAAGAGGGGTATGCTCATAATCCTCCAACTCAAGACAAAGGCGAATCTGCCGGTTTAGCGCATCCAGCTTCTCTAGACGTGGCATATTCGTAATCGTTTCGACATGTAAAGCTGATAGCATGTCGCACGCGGAACGCTTGAGACCACGCGCCTCGTGGAGCTTCGCGAGCTCAATAGTGAAACGAGTATGCTCCAACTCGACGTGTATTTTGTTATCGGTAACATGTGCTAGACGTTCAAGGACATCCTCTTCCTTCTCAGGTTCAAGAGAACCATCATGGAGGACCACAGCACACTCGGCAATCATAGCACTTTGCACCTGCTTCGTTTGAGCTCGTCTTTTCATTAGGGTGTCGAGTAAAGTGAGCATTTTTCCCACATCCTTCTGCACACGGTGTATGCGCAGCGCCTCAACTGCAAGCCTTCGCGTAGAGGCAACGTCCTCCCCAAGGCGGCATTTTTTCTCTAGCGCCAAAATTTCGTCGACAAATTCATCAACAGTCTTACCGGAGGTTTTCAAAAGCTCAGCTATTGAGGCTGAATTCACTCTTTCCAAAAGTGCGTTAGTTTCTTCAGAATGGTCCTCTGCATCTCTGAATCTCGCTCCTTTCCATTCGTCGTTATTAGCCATGGGGAAATTTTCGGATTTATTTTATCCTAAAATAAATACTAAGTCAATTAACGGTAAACCCCTCGAAAAATGATATAACTGAGTTAAGAAGTATCAAACGATAAATGTGGAGAAATGAACGGAAAAAGAAAGGATTTAAAAATATAAAGTCATCGTTATTTATTATCTTAAACATTAAGATTGAGTTGAAGAAAAAAACTGCTTTCCGTTACTATAAGTATTCTTACTTACTGTTAAGCGTCTTAAGATGTTTTACAAATTTTTATGTATCACCTGTCATTCCCTTTTCTCCTGAAAAGCAGTTCCCATAAGGGTAGACTCAAATCGATTGAAGGTTGAATCTAAATTTGGTTCTCGTCCTAAAAACTGCCAATCACTTAGAACTTTATCCTTGCTAGTTAAGTTGAAATCGTACGCATCCGTGATATACTGCATTGCAGACTCCGCTACCTGAATGTGATGCGACATATGCGTCTGCAAAATATCTGCCCACGAGTTCATGTCGTACTTCGTCTGAAGTGCTTGGTTCGAGTGAAAATAGTTGGAAACAGGGAAAAACTCTGCACCCTGTGCAGAATTAGCCTCCTCATTTTCCGGAATTTCAGTAATTCTCCCCTGTCCAATGTAAAGGAGGTTATTTATCCGCCGCTGTTGGATACAGCTTTCAAGGATAAGTTTCATGCGAGATAAATAAGCAAGACACTCGTGGCTAATCTCACGAGAGGACCGAAACAAGGCTGCCAAAATTTCCGTGTCTTTGGGATCAAGAACCACACCCATTTGCTTAGAGAGTGTGATAATATGCATTGCAATACTGCATCCTGCGGTTGATATTTCACCATATCGTGACGCTTCAAAAATAGACCCTGATACAGAACTACGCATAACTTCTGCTATATCATGAAACAATGCATCTACTTGTTCTTGGCCGAGTAAACGAAGTGCACGACGAAGGTGACGAGGATTCCAAGAGAGCAGAAAAGGATGTTTAATCGGATGACGGGTAGAAAGCAGCTGTTGAAGCCCTTGCGTCGCGTTATGAAACTGCTTTACCAGACGATTGTGAATGTATCCTAGTGTATCCACACAGAAGACTGCAACCTCGGAGCTGCCCTTTACAGTTGAATTGAGAAGAGCATAAAAAAGTCGCAATGAAGAAGCAGGATTAGTGTCTTTGGGAGCTATTAAACTTTGAATGGCGTTTATGTCATCCTCAGCATATTCGAAACTCGTCAAAACTTGATCAGTACCACGAGCAGTGTGAAAAGGTTTCCAAATTGCCGCGGTTACAGCTTTTGAGGAATACGGGCCGTTGAGAAAAGTAAATTTGCTCTGTACCAATAAATCAGTATTCAGATCCTGCTCTAAAATGGGACTCCAACTCGCCATGTTTACGCAAACAATAACATGCTCTTCGGTCTCAGTGTTAAAGTAAGAAGCAACTGGAACCTTTTTTAGCGGTAGCACTTCATGCTGCACGAACTCGTGTGTGCCCTCACCGGAAGTAAAGAAGCTAACAAACTGAAAAGCTGGCTTATGAGAGGAACACTCCTCCAACGTCATAACAAAGTAATAAGAGCCAACAAATTCAACCCGCCGTAACCGAAAGTTATGAGGAACGGTTATTTGGCTGACTGTACCACTTAGATTTTCATAATCAGTGGAGAAAGATATTGTATTTAAAGTTGAAGATTCCTGGGAGTAGACTACCAATGTATTAGATTCGCCATTCGTCGAGAAAATCATTTCTGCTTCTTTTGGTACACATTTTATTTTTTCAGTGATAACGAGTTTCTCAGAAATAGTCCAATTGAGCTCTTGCCCATTGAAGTCAAATTCGATCTTGATGAGGTAAAGCGAACACAGCTCGGTTAATGCAATAATAGAATTTGGACTGGTAGCTGCAATTGTGATAATCTTCTCAGCTTCGATCCCTAGCTTAAGGAAACGGGGTTGGGCGATAAAGTGACGAAGCGAGCGGTTTGTCTTTCCAGTGACATATTTGCAATCAAGACGAGATCCAAGGAACAGACGATGCTCGTTGCAGTTCGTTGAGGCAAGACCACACAAAAGATGTGCATCTAAAAGCTCTATTTTCAATATTTGCATCGACTCTGGTAGAGGGGCGACAGCCCACTGCACCGACCAAGTGTCACAACGGAGAACTAAAATAGAAAAAAACGAGTCTGATCTATTATAACAAAGAGCAACATGGTCACCAGCTTTGTAATCTTTTTTATTTATATATGTGCCCTTTTTATTCGTTCCACGCGCAGAACGAGAGGACGTATAACGACTGAAAGTTATACAATCAGGTCTTACTGAATCAAATGAGTCTCCGTTAGCGTTTGGACGAACATAAGAGAATGTGCACTGCGCGGATCCAGAAAGGCAGCCAAGAAAAGTTGATCCACAGCAAAAACTCCCATTTTGAGAAATTGAAATTTTATAAGACATGGAGCTAGACAGCGTGGTGATCCTATTAGTAAAATAAAAAATTGAAAAAGTAGTGATGTAAAGCACACTTATGTTGTATTTGTTTCATGATGATGTCAAACAAATAAAATTTTATTTTCATGTGATTATATTCCTAGTGATCATATTTATATTTTTTTGTCTACGCTCAGAAACACACATCAAACCGAACTTCGATATTTTGTAAAAAAATACAATAGACATTATAATTAAACAAAAACTATGATAATCAACCTCAACCTTCGTGCATAAAAATATTCGATTAGTGGCAATATATATGTATATAGAAATATGTTCAAGCTTATGATAGTGCGGACACTTATATAATGTTAAAAACACACAAGGCCTTCATTCGATTGATCCCTTATCACTTTTAAGAGGCACAACCTGAGCAGTCCACATCGCCTCCGCAGGAATATCATGGCCCAGTATAAATTTGGTATCGACATACGATTTGCCTAAACCAAATCCAGCACCAAATGCTGTAGTAGCAGCTCTTGCAGTAAGCGAACGAAATATCAATAGAGAAGATGCGCCACCACATATTAGGCCTAGACTTAAGAATTTCAGTGAATTATCAATGATAAGATGCCATTTTTCAGCTTCAGACAACGAATCACGTTGAATTAATGACTTTTTATTCTCTTTTGACATCGTTCCTATTTCATATATGTACTATGTGTGTATTTTTAGTGAAAATTTGCTTATTACTTTTTTTAATAATATATATAAAAGAAAAAGAAATATAAATAAAGTGCAATTACTCATTTGTAAAATTAAATATTAAGAATACAAAAAAAAACTCACCCTAAATAAAGTGTAATTCTTTGTCTTTTCAATAATAATAAAAAACTGTGAGTAAAAAATATCAGTGAGCCCTCTTCGAAATATTGCGCAGTACTTCCTCCATCTTGGATCGCTTTTTCTTCGCCGAAGTAAAATCTCCAAGACGCTTTTTACACAACTTTAGTGCACGCTTTTCCTTGCCGACACGAAGGAGCTCCTGCACACGCCTTTCTAATGGAGAGTGGCCAACAAGATCAGCAACAATAGCTTTCACAGCCCGAAGCTTTTTGTGAGGTACAGCGTAACGGTCATTTGAAGAAGGCTGACGGGCCCGTGGAGTTGTCACGTGACCCTTGTTGAAGCCTACAATGATCCCAGTGCGAGGAGGGACTGACATTTTACCTAACTGATTTAGAAGTGAAATAAAAAAAATGACACACAAAGTGGAAAGTTTATGAGTGTAAATTTACAAAATTCAAGTGATGCATTTTTTTTCTGGGAAGGTACTATAATATATATGCATATGTATCCTTTTGGATAGGAGGTACGAAACAATCATATACCTAATCCCAAACGATTTTTTTTGAAGTTGTGTGCGTGCATTAATACTAAAGCAGACAAAGAACTTTAAAGCAAACAGTATTCAAGTAATTTTTGCTTAAAACTTGTTCCTATTACTATTTTACTATGCCGTTTTTTTTGTAAGAATGTTTGACACTACCATTCAGAATTTCGCCCACGTTTTTACCCTTTTGAAGCTCTAGAAGAAATTCTTTGGACTTTTCCTTATCTAGCACACTGTATTCTCTAAAATGCTTTACCATTTGAGTCCATTGATCCCTTTGAATTTCCACACAGCCTAACATAGAGATTTTGTAGTCCAGGGGCATTCCAAGATCCCACACCTTGCATCCAAGCTCACGTAAAATGCAACCAGTAACTGCAAGCTGTAGCTTACCTGCACCACTAACACAATACGCACCTGTTAGTGAAGTATAAATTTCACCAACAAGGTAGCCGATTTCAGCTGCAACTAAACCACCTTCGTTTACTTCATCTGAACTAGAGAGGAACGACTCCCTCGAATCACTATGATACTCATGTC